CCGCGAACGGTGAAGATTCTTTAGTATTGCGAAGCTGGAACGTCCCATCAGTGGCGGCGCTGCTGTAGAGGGGGGCGGAGGAGGTGGTGTTGGTGGCGGTAAGGTGAGCTATACGTGTGGGGAGGATACGGTTTTTGCTTTGCCGGGATGGAAGATGAGAGGCGTGTTTTTCGGTTGGTGGCAGGGGTTATAGTAGGTGGGTAAGTGTTCCTTTTTTCTTTTTTCGTGATGGCGTGTTGGTTTGTGTTGTTGTTGCGGTCATAGGTCTGGTGTTAGCTTTCGTTTTTGTTTCATGATTTTCATGGAGTGTTCACAGCAGTGCTGGTCCTCACTCTGTCGTTTTGCGGTTTTGTTGTCGTGTTGAGGTTTTTGTGGGTGTTGGTATTGCTTGCTGCTGCTGCTGCTGCTGCTGCTGCTGCTGCTGCTGCTGTTGTTGTTGTGGTTATTGGGTGTCGTTTGTTTTGTTATTATTATCTTTTACATGCTGTTGCTGTTGATGACGATACCTTGGCATTGGTTCTGGTCTCCGCTTTTCAACCCCCGGGCCTCAACCCTCCTGTGTGCAACACTGACTCTGCAAGTCCGTTTCTCGTTATTGTCCGCCGTACCATTTCCTCGTCATATCAATCTACCGCCTTTGCTGACTTTATGGACCGAAAGAAGCGAGAAGACGGTGAGGATCAAGATCAAGACGAGGAGGAAGAGGAGGACCCCGACATGACGGAGGAAGAGATGGCCAGGGCCAAGACCATGCTCAAGGACAAGGTGAAGGATCAGACTCAGGTCTTGCTGGACGAGGCGAGGGACAGCGTCAACGACACGGTGAGCATGTTTTTTTTTTTTTTTCGTGTGGTAGTTTTAGCCCCGCCGTAACACGAACATTATTTCACAAACTAGGAACAAAACCCCGGCTGCTGCGTCCATTAGTGTGCCACAGGGGAACGGACCGAAGTCGACAACAAATGGCATTGTTTGCTGCCTTGCTTTGGTGTCCTGTTCGAAACGAACGTGTTAGCCCTCTCAGATATCGCGGTCTTCAGAAAGAGATTGCACAGCAGTAGCGGCCGTGCACGGCGCGGCCGTTCCTCCAACAAGAGAAACGTATACTCCGTCCCCTCTTGCGGGGAGTTTCACGCCACTCAGCGATCCGTGCGAGACCTCCATCGACAGCTCTTGCGCGGAACCCCGAATGCCTTAAAATCGCTCTGTTCCGGTTCCGTGTCAATGCGACACACGACCCCCCCCGTGTAGCTAGACGGATGCCCAGTGAGATTCATGCTCTTGTGCCCAGCCAGTGCCACCAAGGTTCCCACCAGAGTGCGCACCTGCTTTTCACCCCAACCCACCCACCTCCACTTGGGAAGATTTCCCTCCACTCACGGAAAATACTTCAACGCTTCCCTTTCGACTACTGCTGTGGTATTATCTCGGACAGGGGCCTAGTCTTCTTGTGTTGCTTTCGATATTTTGTATAGATTTTGCTCCCGAGACTTTGTGATGATTTGTTTTTTTTTGTTCCGTTTCTATTTTTTCTGTGCTTCGATGGCAAAAGGTGCGGCTATGGGAGGACGGATGGAAGGACCGTTACTACCATGACAAGTGCAAGCTGGAGGACATCGAGGGGGGCGGGGGAAGGGAGAGGCTCTTCCAGACCTACGTGGAGGGGCTCTGCTGGGTGATGCTCTACTACTACCAGGGATGCCCTAGCTGGACGTGGTACTTCCCGTTCCACTACGCGCCCTTCGCCAGTGACCTCATCAACTGCGACAGGTAGGGGCGGGGGGGGATGTACTCGTTGCCGTGCATTCCGTTGTTGTTACACAATGGACCTCGCATCTGTACAAAGCCGGGGACGTGGGGGGGAGGGGGGG